AAATAGACATTGAATGCCCATTCTATTGATTCTAAAACGGTTTATAGACATAGTGCTCTAGATTTTTTTAAAAAGGTTATCATTGTTTATATTCAACACAAGGTAGGAAGGAGTGTTAACGTACATGTACAAAATTGTTTGGGATCAACAGTAAAGAATTATACGACAATTCACAACTGTATGCATTTCCTTTTTTGTCTGCACGAGTACCTGTTTGTTGAAGCCAAAATCACTAAATCATATTGCACAGAATCTCCGATATGAATTATATAGCCATTCACCCTCGCCCCTTGAATGCAAGGGAATGATAGCCGAAAAGGTTTAGCAAAGTATTTTTTATTATATCTGGTATAAAGTGTCCCTACGTTTTATCAGGGATATATATACATAATTCATAAACTGTATATATGCGCACGAAGTCCAGCTCATAGAATTACTTAATTAATGAGTTTTAATAAGCCATTTAAAGTTTCCATTGATAGATAGGTTGTTTGCCTCTAGTATGGTTTGGTGAAACTGCTAAAATGTCATTTATACAGTATACGATAAAGATTATTTAAAGTTGATTTAAATATTGACTGACGCACAGCAGCATTATACAAGTCGAAAGAAGCTGTCGGGTTATTCTTCAAATATAAAGCACTACTGAATGGGCAATGGGAATGAAAGGTCTTTATAAGGTTTATAATGTACCTGCTGTAAATTACTGTAATACACAAAATATGAAATAATTTACTATGAAGTACAATACCAGTGTCTGGTGCAATCTGGTGCATATATCGTCCTAAATATTCAAGTTATATGTACCGCACGCACGGAAACGCAGTGGTCTTGGTGTTCGTCTGATGACAGATAGCTATACTTCGAGTCTTCGACATAATCATTCTTGATCGTTGAGTTTCAGCAATGTAAATGAAAGGAATTTTACAGTCCATAACGGTTTTAATCGTGTTTCACAGTCAAGATAGCACTATTGTTTACACACACAGTTAACGATGTTTGGGAAATTTCCATTATAAAATAAATCCTTTGGCTTTGTTGAATATCGGACAGGAGACACTTCAACAATAAACAACCATATCGTTCATTTAGTATCGTTTGATCGTCAGTCGGTATAGAATTGGGAAGACTTATATGTTTCTACGGCGATGCGTGCTCAACTTCGCAAGCCAGGCGCGTGTGGAGTCCTTGGAAGTGAAATATGATCCAGCTTGTCGCTTGAAATGTACCGCAACACTTATTATTGATGACATTCAGTATAGCAGGAAGTTGTGTCATGATGAATACGAATTAAAACTATTCCTTTCACGATTTCTTGTTGCAAATTACATTTTTATCACCCGAAACTATAACACATAAAATTGCAATTTTCCAAACGTAGCAAACAGACCTCTCTACCACCCCTCCCTGAGATCAATTCAATTTACCACGCAGAATCTGCGGGGTCACGTGACCAGCCCCGACCAGGGTCTTTGCTTCACAAGAGCAAAGAGCCTGGGAACGAGGTTGGTTTCGATATCACTACTTGGATAATTTACCAAAATACTTTACCAATTACTATGTTACTAACAACAAAATACATGAACACAATACAAGAAACGCATCCAAACTTCATAAATCATACTCCAGAACTAATTTTGTCAAACATTCACTTCAAAATAAGGGTGTAAATATCTGGAATGAGTTAAATACTGACTTAAAAAATTTAAAATCCTATTGCACATTCAAAAAAAATTCAAAAAACCACTTCTTGCTGTTGCATTCGGAAACATAGATTTTATTATATGTATGTTTGTCATTATTTGTATGTTTGTCATTATTTGAAACATTATAAAAATTCTTCAATCTCATCTTCTTTTTTCTTTTTCTATTAAACTTACTTTAAGTTCTGATCATGACCAATCAATGTAAATAATTAAATACTTTTAACCTAGGGGTCTTAATCAAAAGCCTTTGTTTGGTTTCTAGTAGACCTCTAGCCCTATTTCTGTAATTCTATATCGTATATATACATATATATATATTTTTTCTGTATGTATGGGCGAAAACTTTAAAAAATAAATAAAAAAATAAATATTATATTTCATTATTTACGGAATTACAAGATCAAATGACCTAAAAAAATATGACAAGAACTTCGACGTCGCGAGCGAATGCCTGAATGCCCTGCGTCTACAAGTTAGTAAAAGTTTGCCTGCTTCAAACTATATTTTTCAAGCAATTGTATTATATTTCCTCTTTTCCATTTACAGTAATGGGCGATTCCGAGACGGCAGATTACACCGGCTGCTAACAAAAAGAATCATACTTTAATTAAATGGAACCCAAACTTTCACTTATAACTAAAAACATACAAAGCTTTTGATCCGTCTGTCCAGATCTTCATCAGTGCAATATAAACCTACCGAGGTTTACCCATAGAGATATCTATGGGTTTACCGAGGTACACTGTAAATTTCAAAAACGGTACCAAAAACTGTGACAGAATCACACTTTTGTTATTGAAAGTCCTTCAAATTTATTTATGTCCATTCCTGGCCGCGCTTCGTCCGTGTTTTTAAGTGTATCGGAGTCTATTGAGACTGTGTCAATGTGCAGTCAATATAGCGTGACCAACATACAGGGGCGGAGCGAAGACTATCCTTTTCGGGGGGTGCAAGACAACTTTTTGCCGACGAAAGGGCGTGGCTAGCGCGCGGTTAGGGCGTGGTCAAAGCGAACCGTATTCATTTTTAAGTGATGTACAACGATTAACTCCGAGTAGTAAGAAAATTTGTTTTAATTTATTTTTAAAATAGGCGAAATAGTTCCGAAAAAAATCGAAAAAGCACATCCATTCGTCATCAAACGACCGATTACAAACTAAACACGTCAGTTTCTCTCTCTTCCGTTTGCGTTTTTGCTTGCTACTGTCCATACTTTTAAATCATCTCCGTATTTCTCATTGTATAAAATACCGTTAAGTGTAATTTCTAAGACCTTTACTGGCTTTACAAGATTATGAAATGAAGCGCAGGCGCATCGACAGTCAACACGCACATGTGCTTCGAATTTCCTAGTTACGGTATAGGCCTACTTCACAAAATTGCAAGAAAATATAACACTATTAAAAAGCGTATTAGCGTAATAAGTTCTTGGCCAATTTAGCTGAATGTTCGGAAAAGGGCCGAGCTTTCAGTCGACATATCCATCTTTTCGATCTCGCATTTTCTACAAATTTTCTACAAACAATCTCTCTCCAATCAGGTTATTGCCTATTGGCTTGATCCAATTTATTTTTCCGACAACTGATTTATTGTGCCGACGGACACGGCATTGGGGGGGGTGCGGCACCCCCCGCACCCCCCCTTAGCTACGCCCCTGCCAACATATATGTGTATATCAGTATATGTTTCTCTTTCTCGTATGATTGTCAACTTGCAGTTATCAGAGTATGAAAATAATGTTATAGTTCTTTGCTTCTTTCATATGTAGGAGGCAAATAGGAGTGATAAATGTAGTTTATGATATAGATGTAATTTAATCCTCTTAAATTCATCACAACTGTTTGTCTCTGTTCACTTACCACTTCCGCCTTTGTTAACACCCAAACTTTGCGAATACTCGATATTTTATAGTTTGTATGATATGCGATATGATGTAGATGATGTGAACTTTTATTCGGGTTTTATTTTGTTCGTTTTCTTATGCATAACTTGAATGAAAGCTGAAACGGTTATACCAAGACACAAAGTGTATGTTTTCACTGAATTGCCGCAGACACCGCCAAACAATATGAGAAAACTATAATTATGATGCAAATGAGCGTTTTGGTTGATTGAATCTTTATTCACTGAAGGTAAACACAGAATAGCATAAAAACATCAATAAACTTGTGACCTTCAGAAAGTATACAACGAATACAAATAATTTAATAAAAATAATAGTTACAGACGTATATAGAAAAGAAATCAAGAAAATAATATCAGTCGGACTGTGTGGATGTCTTTTTTGAGGACGTCACTCATTTGCGAGTTTCAAATACAAACTATGAAGGTTCTTTACATGAAGGCCTATAGCCGGTTCAAACGTTTACTCCCTGTAAATATAACCCAGTAATCTTTCAACCAATACTAACCCTGGTCTTAACCGCAATCAGTCTAACGAATTCACTACATCACATACAGCATGCCTACATAGTTATCAATTATTGGACGAGGTTGAGCAAAATATCGTGATTTGTCGGTGGCGAGCAGATAATTAATAATAAATAATTGATCTGCGAGCCACCGACAAATCACGATATTTTGCGAGAACCGAGTTCAATAATTGTTTTATCATTCACTTCATTTTATCTAAGAACAATATACTCCCGAAACGCTTATAGCTTGTATAGTCTGTATACTGAAAACTACTGTGTTTTACAAAATATCTCAACTGCTAGCCGACAAACGATGAAACAGCAATTTGGAACTGACATCTTACGAGTATCTTACTAAGAAGTGATAATTGGTTGAAATTCTAAATGAAAATTCATATCCAAACATACTCTGTCATTTCTTTATCAATTTTTGGTAACAAGCGCTATCATCCTGCACTCGTTTCGTGTTGTCCAGCTCTGTGTAATAATGTTTTATTCGTACTCACAAGAAGGAAAGAAAATTAGTTGTTTACATATGTTGTATATATAAGTTAGAGCACTGGCTGCACAAAATAACCATAAGGGCTAGAAAGAGGGTGCAGCCAATAAGGACTGGGGAAAATATAAATATAAAACTAGCTCACAGAACAGCTGTCTCCAGTAGAATATATACGTTGGAGAGAGCTGCACGCAAAATAACCTCATTACAATGTTCATATTTACATCAAATAATAAAGTTAATTCTTGTTACAATTCTCAATATTTCTGGATCATTTCAATTTTTATTCTCTTTTTGAATTGCAAGAGAGAGAGAGATTTGACATTCTCGTCTAGAGAATTCCAGATTTTAACACCTTGGAATCTTATATTAAAGATACCATAATTGGTTTTAGTTTTTGGTAAATAGTATGATTGTTTAACGGCAAGTCTTGTACTATAATTAGAAGCCTCATGGACCGGAATATAAAACTGACCAAAGGCCACCGGTAATAAGTTGTTATGGAATTTGTACATAAATTTGGCAAGATGGAAAGAAACAAGATCAGGCAATTTCATGATATTCAATCTTTTAAATAAGGGACTTGAGTGTTCATCGTATTTTGCAAATGTAATTATTCGTATAGCTTTTTTTTGTAAGATATACAAGTGTTGTAGAGTAGAGGGGTATGTATTACCCCAAATAGTTATTCCATAAATCAAGAACGGGTAAATCAATGCATAATAAAGATTTACAAGAATTTGCTCACAAACATGGTAGCGTAATTTGGAAAGGATCCCAATACTTCTTTTAATTTTCTTTGCAATGTAAATTGTTTGACTTTTCCAGTTAAGATTAGAATCTATG